TTGTGGACAAGGGATAGTGTGCCCAATTAAAAAAAATATTGCAAATTTGTAGCTAAAGTTAAGTCATGAGTTTGAGCTTCAATTGGTTGATGTTCTTTGTAGCAAACTTCAAAGGAAATGACGATAGGGAAAAGAAGGCTTGTGGACTCTAGAAATGGAAAGATGGAAGGGACTTGAAAGGATTGTTATATTATCTCCAAGAAAAGGAAAGAATCAAAATGGAATTAAAAAGAAAGTACTTTCAAGGCAACCAAAATTTCAAATGTGCTTCAAAAGTTTTGGTAGATGATTTCAAAGTTGCTTTGGTGCTGAGTGAAATAATTCAAACCCTGTATAGGATAAGCTAGTTTATTACATGTCTTGTAGCCAAAAAAGGTCGTTACATGCTATTACAAACCTGTACCTCTGAATCTAGCATGGTAGGCAAGATGCATAAGTAGTTTATGAAGCTTCTAAAAGTAGTTTTATTATTAAGTAACCTTACTAATGCACTTGCAATAATTACTTTAGTAGTCATTGGTAGTAAGTGGTTTCTTCTTAATTGTTTAGATCCTTTGATAAGTAGTATCACATATTACTATTTGTTGTAGATATAGCTTCTAAGCCCTTTATTGCAGTCTCCATCTAAGGATTATTCTTTTGTTACCTCTACTCTCTTAAAGAATCTCATGGCTTACCATAAAAAACTTATTAAAGGTGTTTTTGTATGTTAGATATATTTCATTTTTTAATGCAAAAAACGAAAACCAAAATGTCCAATCACAACCACATGATGGATGGGACTTAGGTGCACATACATTATGTTTCACCCATCTTGTGACTGATTGTATTGTCAGGACATCCCAATTTTTCGCATCTTATTTTATTTTCAAATGTAATTCATTTTCTTTTGCCAAACACAACCTTAAAAGTATTCTCTAAGATGAACAAATAAAAATTGGTTTTTGAGAAATTAAAAAGGAAGATCTCTCTTGTGTAAAGTTGGCATTACAAAGTAGCGTTGAGAGTTTCTACCAAGGGTTTCTCTTTTTTGTCATTTCTCCCTTCACAATAGCCCAAATATTATAGTACATTAAAACCTTTTGGGTTTCTAATTGAAACTCATTGAAATCTAAAAGTCATAACAACATAGTGCTTGGTGGAAAAGGCTCCAATAGCCTAAAGTTCAAGGAAGGCTGTGCATCATTGCCTTAAGTCACAAAAGTACTTGCAAATTGCCATTGTAAGGCACAAGTGAGGCTGTACTTTTTTACATGGGTTGGTAAGGAATTAAATGAGTTTGAAAACATAGAGAAGCAAATTATGGGTGTTGTAGGAAGGGAGAAAGACAACCATGGGTTCCCTTCTCAATAAAATCCACCTTATCAAAGGAGAATGTTGTGTTATACCTTTGACGTTAAAGTGACAAGTGGGTAAGTGTGAGAAGGATGATTTGTGTTGGTTGTGAAAATGCTTATGAGGAAAAAATTGAATGTGTCAGGGTTTCAAAACGTTGTGATGCATTCCTAAACACCAAAGTAAGGTGTTCATATTAGTGAAATTGGGAAGAATTTATTTTTATTCCAATTTTTGAAAATAGCAAAGTGTTACAAAAAGCGCATGGAACTTTAGTGGTTCATTGGTAATATTGAAAATGTTTGATAGGGCTCTAACTTTGAACAATATGATTTTTCAAACAATCTTTTCTAGGTTCACCTTTCATGATCTCCTATTAGGATTTCGTTTAGAAAAGGTTAGATATATGGTGGATAGTGATCTTGATAAGATCCTAGAAGTGGAAGATGGCCATAGGAAATCTTTGAGAGTAAGAATTTGTCTAGCAGTTGACAAACCTCTTAAGAGATTCTTTACCATTCAACTCACTAAAATCAAAGTTAAAAGACTTTATTTCATGTCAAATATAAGAGGTTACTAGATGGGCCATATTGAGATTGATTGTGTGGTGGCATTCAAAGCTAAAGAAATGGGTGGTAAGCTAAAGGATACAACCTAGGGTAGAACTTGAAAATCCTTGAAAGTTGATTGAGATTGAGGAGTTTAGCTTATCATATAAGCCCAAAAATTATGTTCGCAAGGCTAGTAGGCAGGGATCAAATAAGAGAAGGATTACTCTATTGCTCAAGCAAGAGAAATCACATGTTAGACATATATTTTTAAGGGGGTTAGAATTGAAAGCTTTAAGAGAATGGATAGGAATATCACCCCTTCCCCACAACCTTTGGTAGTTGAGAAAGAACGACGACTAGTTGATGTTCCTATTGGGTTGATCACAAGGAACAAGGTAGAGCTAGCAAAGAGGAGCAACATGAGAGGACGATGGTTGAGGATTGGAAGGGAATTAGCAACCTTTTTGTGAAAGAGAAAAAGAACTAAAAAGGAGAGAAGTGCAAGTTAGGGAAATAGAATTTAGGGAAAGCTTCTAAGATCTTAATTGATAATTTTGGAATGATTTTACTAATTGAAGAAGGGTGGTCCAAATCTCCCTCCAAGCTAGATTGGGTTAAAGTTAAGGACCTTGAGAGACGGGGGTTGTCCATGCCTATTTTTAAGGTTGTTAACAAGTCAAGTCAAGTTGAGTCAAGTATCTAGATACTTGTGCTTGAGCTCGCCTAACAAATTCGAGCTTGAGTATTTGATGAGCTCTAGACAATTGAGCTCATGCTTAAGCTTATGAGTATTCAAGCAAGTTCAAGCTTAGTTGTACTTGAGTGCTCTAGTGAGTGAGTATTTTAGCTTGAATTTGAGTTTTTTTCTATAATTCCGAACTGTTTCAATAACCAATCATTCAACCATAAATATGTTTACATTTTTCAAAAATATTGAAATATCAAAAGTTTAAATAAGAGCATTATATTAAAGTCAATAATAAAAAAATAATTTAAAACTCTATCTAAACATTCTTATTATTAGTTTTAAAAAGTTCAAACTAAAATTCATTCAGCAAATATATACCACCATCCAAAAGAAAATATTTTTCAAGTCTTGCAAGTCGGTAGTTGAAAAAGAAAAATACAATAAAGTCAAGTTCAAAGCTCAAGTTTATAGTAAGTTATTACATATATTTAAATTATATATATATAAATTATATATTTATTTGACACACATAAATATATTTTATAATTTTAAAATTTAAATTGAGTACTTACTGGTAGCTCACAAGTATTGATCTGAATTCAAGCTCAAAGTCATTTTTTTATCAAATTTGACTCAAATAGCCCACAAGTTACTCATGAGTTACCCTACTCACTAATAGCCTTACCTATTTTTATTATCCCTGGGAGGGGTCATGTTGATGGGTGGGAGTGTGTATATCCAATCCAATCCAATTGATCTAACACAAATTGATCAAATCTAATGAAAAACCAAACTAAATTGATATAAAATTGGATTGGTTTGAATTATAAAATTTTAAAATCGATATCATGAGTTTGGTTTATGGTTTTACCTACAATCAGCCTAAACCTCCTAATTACAAAATAAAACCTGATTAAAAAATAACTTAATTAAATAATATAATATATATTTTTGTAATATTTTAAATTTTCTTTTCTTGTTTTACTAGATAATAAATCTATTAACTTAATTAAAAAATAAAAATAAAATATCCCCATGTTCCTTAATTTCTTTTGCCTTTTTAATCGTGTACTCTAACGTTAATTCTAAATTTCTAATTCACTTACAATTCTAACTCTCAGAACTAGTTAGCAACTCTACTCTTAGAATTCTAAATTTTTAATTTGTTCCTAAAATGATATTTTGATTATCCTAACAAAGCTTTAAAGAAGTATCATTTTAAAAGTCTTAAAACTATATAATAGAACTAATCTTGATATTTTACTATTCTTGGATGTTTGGTTAAGGAGTTTTAAATCTTGATTATGAATGCTTCTAATCAATCCTAGTAATATTCATATTAAATTTGATTCGCTTTTAATAGGTTTGGAAGATAGGATTGAATCATTGTTGAATTAAGAAAAAAAACTAGTTTTAACCTTTAAGAATTACTTGCAGTGTACTTAAAACTTGAAGTCATCTTTTATTATCTTTGATGCCTTTGGTTATTATTCTTGATGTCTCTAGTGATGTAACCAAGAAGAATTTCTAGATCTTTTCAATATTTACAATTGTAAAAGAGTATAAAAACTTATTTATAATTTCTGCCTTTTATTATGTTTCTATCAATTTGAGTGTTAAGATGTTTTATAGTTATGTTTTCTACTTAGTGTTAAAATTTTTTAAATTATCTTGTATATTTAATAGTATTCCAACCGAGCAATTTGATCGAATCACATCAATCTGATTAAAGTTAGATTGGTTTCATTATCATATAATAGTAGATTGAATTGGTTTAAAAATTTTACTAACGATTAAATTAGATTGATTTAAAAAATATTAAAATTCAAACCCAATCACATTTCAAACACCCTTGCTTGTTGGACATGCGGTGGCTTATTCTGCTCATATACATGGTCTCCTATTCTTAATAGCTTGTATTTGGCCCGTATTGCATTATTGTAATATCTAGTGATAGTTGGCTTTTAGAACTTAATTGTCTTATGGTAAGGGGCGTAGTCTTCTATAATTAGAGTTATAGATCTAGTCTCCTTTTGGCTATTGATAGCCTTCTCGGAAGGATTCCCATAATCTCATTGCTTTATTAATGATTTCCTTTGTTCATCACAAAGAAAAGGAAGCAGAATACAAAAAACTTTTTGCTTTGCCATTCAATCTTTTATCATCTGGATTCTAGAACCCTTGTGCTTAATTATATCCGACACCTATCCAATATATATATATATATATATATATATTTGAACATAAGGGAATTGGAGAAAGGATAAGTCCTTGCAAATATTCCCATAGTGACTCGAACCTTCGCATGCGCTAAGGTTTTGCGGCATATTCCCAGTCTTCCTGGGACTACCGGTGCAAAGCAAGGTCAATTTTGTTAAGCTTTAATGCAACAAGGGAAAGAAGGTTTACTGACTCCAGACACCAATATTTATTTGAAAATTCTATTGCATTAGGCAGCTGGAGAGCAATTTGCACTCCGCTAAGAATTAAGATTACAGTTTTACAGTTACAGATACAATTTTACTCAACCCACCTTTCTTCGACGGGGTAACAAATAGCTAAACAAAGACAAAATTGGTGGGGAGCTCGAATATTTTCAACATTAACCATTTTAATACTAATCCTCATCAGGATCTATCCCAATTCTTTGTTTCCTCCTATCAAAAACGGCTTTAAAGGATTCGCGCTCTGCTCGGAGTCGCTCTTGAAATACTGTCTGCTTCTTCGAATGGACAAAGTTGTTTGATGCGGGGATCTCTTTGGGCAAGGGGTTGGAATTCTGCAAAAGTTGGAAAAACAAATAGTTATTAATTCTATAGTAAAATTTAGCTCTCTCTAGAAGACATTCAACTTGTCAAAACAGGTCTAAACAAAGTAAATTTATCAACACACATTACATTTCTTAATTTTATTTCAACACCACGAGTTTTGAGTTGGAAATGCAACATTATACCACATACTTGTGAAATGTGAAAATAATAAACAAGGAGCTTGGGACCTTTTTAAATAATCTGAAATTGAATGAGACAATAAAAAATTAATAACTAACCAAGTTGTATCCAGAACCCGGTCCAATCACTAGAGAAGACACTTTGGCCAGCTTTGCCGCACCTATTGAGAAGCCAGTGTCATGAACCTGTAAAGTAAATTGTGGACAAAAAGGTCATAAATATGAGAAGATGTTTTCCAAGAAGAAAGCCAATATGGAGCTGAAGTTTTTGTAAATATTGGTCAAAGAGAGATAATGTTGATAAACTAGGAAACATAGAACTCATTTATATTAATTATTCTGACATCAAATTCCAGCTTTACATAATTATTATGACAGCTTTCCAGATAAGTTTTTTTATAATAGACAAATAATTTCAATAACAACAAACATATTTATTTCAGCCAAATGTGTGTCTACATGTGTTCGTCAAATAGAAGAGATACCTGATCACCCCAATGAACAGATTTTCCTTCCTTGCTATATGCTTGGATCAACCCCGAGAGAGCATTCAAATTTCCTTTCACACTTTCTGATCCTTCATTATCATCTTCATCAATATCATTTGACCATTTACTCCTACTTAATTCTTTAACAGCAGCTGGATTGTCCCCCTCAGTATCACATTTCTTTGTATAAACTGAAGAATCTAAAATTTGATCATAAATATATGCAGTAAGTCAATAAACAACAAAAAACATTAAAAAGTGTTTGAAAGAGTGCTAGAACACGAAAACAACATTTGACATGTAGCTTTCCTTAACATCCAGTGAAGGATGCAGCTTAGTTATTGGTAAAAAAACTTTAAACAAAGCTCGCAGGGTCTTAATCAATTTTTGATCTTTATCTCTACTTGGAGGTTTTCCTTCCAGCATCTGCCTCTTTGATTATCTCTGAATTGGTTAGAAATGCCAGGCAATTTAGTGACTGGAGTCCAGTGGTTCAGAATTAGTGAAATAAGCATTATCAGGAATTATTGGAAGTAGAAGATCATTAAGCCAGATAAGCAATTCATATGATATAGAACTGAAATTGTGAGTAGCTTGGCCAGAAACTGTAATTTGAAACTTAACCATGGAAAAAGAATGAAAAGAATGAGGAGGTTTAACAATCTAATCAAAGGGGATGTCACCAGCAAAGCAAAAGTATATGAAGCAAAGAGCTAAAATATACCTTCAGGTGCATCACCTCCAATAGATTGTACTTTCATATTCCCAGGCTTACTTTCTTGATGTCCAGATGAATCTTCATAAAGATCTCCATCTCCCATATCCATATCTACCTGCCAAATTTGACGTGAGGAATTGATTTAGTAGTTAAAATAACAATTTAACATTCCAAAAGTTACAGTTCGAGAACTAGATTAAACCTTTCAACATAGGCCTGAAAAGGGGCACTCAGAATACAGTTTAATTAATTAATAAACTCTAAAGCAAAAAACCCTGTGATAAAGGAGATGGAGTTGGTATGGTATATAGCATTTAATTACCTCCTGAATTCCACTTTCCTTCAGGTCATCTCCACAGAATAATGACTACAACATCAAGAAGATTACTATAAGATATAAGCTACAAAAATTACTGCCTACACAGCATTAACATAGTATTAGAATGCATAGGAGGCAATTTCAGTAATATAGAAATGTTTCCAATTTTCTTGAAAGTTGAAACTTTTACGAGGCAACATCCCGAAGTTATTTTTAAACATTCTCTAGCTAAAACATTCTTCACCAAAAAATTCTACTTAAAGACAAACCTTGATGTCTAGTTGCAAGTATAAGGATGGCGCTTCTTCCCATCGTCCTGCCATCTCTTGGATATCATCTAAGGTAAAATTATGCACGTTTCTAGCTGCACAGCCCTGGAAGACAGCCAAGCTATCAAACCCATGCAATATTAGGCCATTAGCGTAAACTTGATATATATATATATATATATATTTTGTTTACTCCTCTAGTTTTATACTTACTTCTAGAGATCAAATTGTCAACTTACCGCTGGATCTTTGTATGTGGCTTCTAATATGTAGACTTCATAACCCGATCTCTGACAAGAAAAATCCAAAAGAACAATTAGAAATGGAGTAAATAGATGAAATGAAAGATTAACTAATAATGATCTAATTCTACAGGCATTTAAAATATATTAGATCATCAAATTAGATACAAAATCTGAAAGCATGTGCCTGCATGGTTAACTACTATGTCTGACAAAGCTTTAAGTTCAGCAAATTATGGGTGATTGGAGAGGCACACATATCATCTCAAAGTTTAGGACTCCTAATTCAAAATTTTGAGCCATCCTAAAATGTCATTGTTATTGTCTCTATTTTTCTTAGTTCAATATTAAGTAAAAAATATGAGGTGAAAATAATCAGAAACACAGAAATACTTATAGAAACTCAGAAAGAAAGAATATTAACGTCAAATGCAAATCACTTGCCAAACAGCTTCCAAGCTGTGCAAAGAGATACAGAGGAATAGTCACAAACCAAGGACAGCACTAACATGAAAACTGATTCAAAAGTACATTTTTTCTTATTTAAACAATAATTTTATCAACAATGAGAAATCAATAAATTAAAAACATCGTATCGATATTAACAAATCTATACACATAACATGAGACACAAAATTTGGGTAGATTGTATGGTCATGTGATTCACTTATCTACATGAAAGAAAATGAGGAAACCTTGACCACAAAATAACTAATTCTTTTAGCACAGAGAAGAACATGACAAAAACTTAATAATAATGCAATCATTTTATTAAAGGCACAAGAAACAAGATTCTGCCACCTACATTTCAAAAACTGCCAGTCTCAGTACACTTTAAGAGCTTATCCAAAAGCAAAAGATTAGATTAGCAACTAGTCACATTACTGAACAAGCTAAAACACTAATAAGAAAGCATTTACATTCATAGCTGCTAAAATATAGGTTACACCATATACCAGGCATCCTCTGGCCTTAGAAATAAACATATAATGAACATTGTGCCAATAAGAAAAAAAAGAAATAAAAAATAAAATAAAATAAAAAACCAAACAAACATACAAAGAGCATGGTTTATATCTAAATCCAGCGAACCAACTCAGTCCCTGCAATCACTCTTATTCATGGAAGTGAAAATACTCAAAATTGATGAGTTTGGTCCTAAGGGTTTTGTTTTTCCTCAAAACGTGAACTGCATTGGATGTTCAAATGCATTTTCAGAATCTCGAAGAAAGTGGGAGAAGGAAAAGGATCAGCGTCATCAAATTGCATTTAAATATTCAACAAAGGAAAAAACAGAGTTTCTTCCAAGTCTACAAGCAAGATTCTATTCACTAAATTAGTTTCAACAAATTGCATTCAAATATTCAGGATAAAGTTAACTTATGAATAATAGAGTAGAGGCTGCTGGTATGATAAATATCTAAGAACAAAGTGCAAAAAATTTCATAAAGGTTGTTGAGGGGAAACAAAATATAATCATCAGAAAAACAACAAACAAAAGAGAGATACAGCAATCTACTAATATCTGCTTCCAACATAATAACCCACAGGTCCCACACAATGGATGAGAGAACCTGCACATCTTTAATTTATTCCCAGAAAACATATATACAACCACTAGAAGAGAGGTTTGGAGAAAGAATTGAGGCTATACCTTTCCAATTGCCCAAAACTGAGCAAAATCAGCTACCCGCAGATTGCGGTCATCCACTAGGACAAGGCACACATACCAGCAACAAATGGGTCAATTTCCAAAGAAAACTGCATCTGTAGTTAGTTGAAAATGAAAGCAGTGCAGAGGCACTGCATTGCCACTTAAATTATATTGAGCTACATCACTTGTGTTATATGCTGAAACAAGCCAGCATAAGTGAATGTGGAACATTTAATTTCTTTATCCATTTTGGAGCTCTGCTCCAATTTTGGCTTTCTATTTGTATGGTTTGTTTGACAAAAAGGGGTAAACATATGACACCATGTTAAATCTCCAAACTAGACAGTAACACAGGTAGGGTAGTAAGCGCACATTTGAAAGGATATATAGGATCTTGGTAGTACCCCGAAACAAACGGGAATGAAAACAATAGGAGGCACAACTTCAAATCATCATACAATAAATTTTAATATGATACACCAATTAATCCACCTTGAAAGAATAAACAATACAATGAAAGAAGATCTTATAACTTTATATCAAAAGACTACTAGAACATTAAATAAAAAGTCATACCAATTACAAAATTGAAGATCCCATCCTCTAGAGTCCTCTTAAACGCTTTCAACATGCTTTCTCTATATACCTGTAGTGAATTTTAATCAATGACACCACAATAGTCATACAAATGCATGGAGGTAGACCAATTAATAACACAAAAACTTAAATAGAAGCATGCATGCATGAATGAATGAATGAATACACATTATGCTTAAATTCTGGCAGCACATATCAAATTTGTCAATTTAATCAACACCAAGGGATTATTGAGGGGGCTCAAAGCAAGCTGAAACATCATCTTCACTTGAGGAGGCTGACCACATCCTAGCCTGATTTAAGCCTTGCCCATTCTTTTTGTCAGGATAAAGTTAAGCATTATACATTTCTGAAAAAACCTCGAATACCAAATCATGAATCAAAGCTAAAATGCACATAAATATAAATCCATATACAGGCCATAAACCAAATTTTAGCATTACCTCCTCCATTTCAGGTTCATAACAGTACTCCATCACCTTCTTCATCGTTGGTTTCTTGCTTCGGACTGAACTTGAAGACTTTGAGACATCAGTATCATCAACCTTCGGAGTCAAAAGACATGACGTGTATTAAAATGTAGCAAAGGCAATAACTGTTCTATTTCAAATCTAATCTGAATGGAAAACATACCTTTTCAACTTCTGTCATGAAATAATCATCCATGGCATGAATTCTTGGTGCATCGCCACCATTCTCAACCTCAAGGTCACGCAACATCTTTGCTAAGTAGCTCTTTCCACTTCCTAAACATGCAATAGACTCAGTAAACTGCCCATTGAAAGATGATCACACGCTTAATAACACCATAAAACAGCATCTTCAGCTCTCTGCTGCCCCACCCCACCCCTCCACCTCCCCTCCCCCAATACCAATATCATTCATACAGAAATAAATTCCATGAATCATAATAAGAGAAAAAAACAAATAGTGTTTTCCATTGGAAAGGGGCTGAATCTAAATAGAAAAGTAAAATATTAAATACAAGCATATCAAAACTAAGAAACTGAGATATGCTTCTCCCCATTACACTCACATTATGGGTTTCATCTCGCCTACCATCTTTACAGATTCATCTCATGATTTATTTAGTAACAATTAGCTATCAGTAATCAACACTCTAGACATGAGCAGAGAAACAAGTAACATAATTAGGGGAAAAAAATAATAATTGAGGCACCCAAGGGAAAGTTACCAGGAAGCCCTCGAAGAATTATCACAATATGATCAGGGCGGGCGACTCGATAAGGCAGCTTAAATAATTGAGAAGCATCAATAACTTTAGGCTTATCCGAAGATTGCTTTAAGGGAAAAGAATGGCCCTCCCCCACATATTGTATAGATGGTGTCCAGTTTATAGTAAGAGATTCCTATAAGAAAAAGAGAATGCATAGATAAAATTACACAATGATTCTTACGTAACTACAACATCAATACAAAAGAACACACAAGTATATAAAAGATAAGCAATACCTCAGCAACAAAGCCAGAAGAGGAATGCGTGAGTAGTTTGCTCAAATTGTAGGACTGGGTGTAGGAATGAGCTTCAGTAACCGGATGCCCCAAGGCAGAGGAACTAACAGGAAACAAAGAAATTGAAACTTTGGCCCGCGAAGAACCAGTCTTAAAGTCTGAGGAAGGGTGCCCTGATGGCTCCAATGGGAGAGGTGGTGGGGAAGCTGGAAGCGGAGGCTGAACTATATTATTGCCGGTAGGTCGTGGCGCACCATATTGTAGAAAGTTTTGGTAACCAACGGCACCCTGATAACCATCCTGCTGGGGATAACTAGAATGCTGGTTGAGAGCATGAGAAGATTGCTCGAAATTTTTGACATCTGAATGAAATTCATTCCGATTAAAAGATTCTCCTAAACTACACATCTCTGAGTTCGTCGACGGCATTGGAAGAGCAATATTCTGCATATATTTTTTCGTTTCGCTAGTAAATCCGCCAGGTGATGCACCTCCATGATCCCGAATCAGCTTCAATCTTCTCTCATCCTCGGATGAAACTCTAGCCGAGCTTTGAGGCGGACCAAATTCCCCAACCCTAGGCCTTTTGTAGCTCCTATCAACTTCATCAGTCCTAGCAAAACCATTGTCGGTACCGTAACCATTCCCAAATTTAGGGTTTCTATGCCAAGATCTAGGGTCACTGAACCCGTCGCCCGGGTTGCTTCCAAACGGCTGATGGTGCAAGACCATCGGTGGCAGCGTTGGCGGAACTTGATACGGGTCGAATCCGGGACGCGGGTAATGAGGCGGTGGAAAGGGCAAACTAGGATTTTGCTGGGAATGGGGGGGATGCGCAGGACAAAACGGGAAGTGAGGAGTTGCACAGAACGGGCATGTGTTAGCTTGAGCTGGCAGCTGGCGCCACTGATGATGATATTGATGATCCATGATTGTGCTCGAAATTGCACAATCGCAGAGCTTCGAAAAATTAGGGTTTTCAATTTAGGATCTCTAAGGAAGGGGAGATGTTTTCTGTTACTGTGGATACAAGCCGCTTGAATGAAATGGGAACCGAAAAATGAAAATTTTATAAAACAGTGGGATTTAGAAAAATTAGGATGTATCAGTATTAATTAAAATAAGATAAACGTACATATAGTTGTAATTTCAAAAAAAAAAAAAAAAAGAATTAGAGTATTGATTTTAAATTATTTTATTTTATTTAATTAAAAGTCTATTTTGAGTTTAAAAATTTATTTTATTAAATATTAATATTTATATTTAAAAATTGATTATATTAGAATGTATTTTTGATTTTCAAATAAGTTAAGACTTCAATTTTTGTGAAAATTAATACTGATATACACTAATCTTTTAAAATAATAATAACAAGAATGAATATACTATGTAAAAAATGCTCTTTTTTATGACAATATTATAGTAATAATGATACTTAGTATTGTAAGTTTATAATTATAGCATGATAGGTGAAACAAGTCAATACATGTAATATTATAAGTGGATTCATGAATAAAAAGAATAAATTATATAATAATATATCATGTGTTTACAATGTCATGTGGTATTGTAATTATAGTATTTTTTATTTTTTTTAATAATAGAAAATGGTCATAGCCCTTGAATTAATACAAGAGTTAGTGCAATTATAATGCAATCTTTACCCCTATATAAATGTAATCTAATAATCTAAATTAGCATTTGCTACTAGAGATAAATCTATGAAAGTACAAAGTAGGTTGAGTAAAAGAAACTAGAAAAAAGAAAAAAAGAAAAAAAGAAGCTAAACATATATGTAAAGACTTAGTTATCCTTTGCCTCTTTGATGTTATTTACAGTGCTACAACACATTGGACACTGTAGCATCTTAATACTTGACCCAAATAACTTAGCTTGGATAGAGGTCCATATTTGATCTACCATCAAACATGGAAGTCATCAAACCATTAACATCAATAACTACATTCATTTTTTGACATCCTTAACCAACAAACCCATATCCTTCCATCTATTGATAACTTCCATCTTTCCTTTAATTACCTTTATGTATGACACCACCCCTAGAAGCGCCACCTCTCTTTTAGCCATTTTCTTTTCCTTTACCTTTCCTACTTAAGAAAGATACAAGCACATGAGTAGACAATCTATGATAAAATTGACCTCCTACTCTTATACTAATATCATCCATAGCTATCACCAAGTTCCTTTTATCCAAATTCTGCTCCTTCTCCTTAAAATAATCAACAGAATCAATAAAGTTTTCAACCACCTCTCTCTCCATTCTTTCTAATAAATGATCTCCTAGAACTCTTTAAAATTGACCAACCTTAACCATGAGCCAAACCACCCTACCAACCTCCACTAGTGAATGCACGCATCCATGTTCCATACTTGTGCATCACTTTACACCCTTCATTTAAAATTTGAATCTTAACTGGGTAATTTTACTCCAAAATGGTCCATTACTCCACACATATAATAGAGATCTGCCATCCTTTCTTGACTTTATATTCACCTCACCATATGCTAATTACACTCTTGCTACCCTCCTAAATGTTTATCATTGTTCTAACTTTCTATAGTGCCCCAAACATTTTGGATGTCCTTAGATGCACAAAATATGTCCTTATTTGCATACTTTAAAAGTTATAGTCCTTATGTGTCAATTTTCATCAATTAAGTCCTTTTGAGAAATCATGAGTGGTGTTGCAAATATAAGGTGGTCTTATGAATTTTAAGGGCCTAAAGGGTGTGATAACCACAATCTTTGACTTTTGAACCAAACAATATAATAATATTTGAATATGAAAACATTGAAGGGATTAAATAGTCAAAGGGAACTTGATGGAGAACATAAGGAAAATATTTCCTCCAACTATTTTAATGGTCTCCAATAAATGGAGATATTTTGTCATTCTTTTCCATTCTTGCCAAAGAGAGGAATGGTTGAGGTAGCTAGTGGAAATTTTACAACTTGGTGGTGAAATTGCTTAAAGGATTATGTGAGTTTGCTAAATTTGGCATCATTTTGATAAATCTTATAAGAGTAGAGGCATGGAAATCTTGGTAATTTTTCCTCCTTGTGTGAGTTTATGACATGTTTGGATCCTAGATTCCTTTTGTCTCTTGGTTTTAGAGTTAAATCGTATGTTTCTAACTTTCTTGGGAACAAGTTTGAGTTTTTTGTAAGTTAATTGCTTGTGATTTGGTTTATTTATGAATTTGAGTTCATAGGTATGTGGATTGTTTGATTTCAAAGTTTCAAAAGAAATTCTCCAAATGATTTTTATTTACTTTTGGTATTTATGATTTTGAAACTCTAATAAGGCTTAAAAGATTGTAAATGCATGTTTTGAACCAAGGATTAGATTTTAAGAAATGGTTTGAAATCTTCTTAAATTCCTTGATATCTAGTGTTTGAAAGATATTTTTAGGTCATTTTTCTAGCAAGAAATGTGTAAACAAGGGGGAGAAACTTGTAAGAAAGAGGAAAGAAAACTGTAGTCATGCATTGTAGTTTTTCCTTATATACTATTTTAGAAAATTGTACAATTCACCCATGTTAATCATTGGACGGGGCTAAATTTTAGTCTAAGCATTCCTGAACCATGACTCTTCATTTTGAATAGTCACATTTTAATAAAGGCTTAAGCGTTTGGTTTGGAGTTCGAACTAGATGCTTTATTTTAGTAGCTTACCCAAATTCTTAACTAGTTTGAGCTTCTTGGATGCCCAAGTATAAGTGATGGAGTGTGAAATTCTTAAGAAATTTCTCTTTGTAAATTTGATTATAGGTTTGATATTGAGGTTCTCATGTTTATAAATCTAAGTTTATTTTCCTATTTATGGCTTAGGATTTCACCTTGAGCTTGTGTTGTGTATGTGACATTTGTAAGCATATAACAAGTGTATTTAAGTTGGAATTTATCATTTGTTACATGTGTTTTTTATGATGTCTTTAGGGGTCTTTAAAATCATCATGAGTGACATGCATATATTTTGGGCATTTTTTTTATTGGCATGGATTTTAGATGTTTTATAAGTTTATTTAAGGTTGTTTTCTAACCAATTTCATGCTTTGGAATTAAGGAACTCCAAAACCAATGACCTGTTGGTTTAAGTGAAAGGAGCTTAGTTCCCCCTAAGCAAAGTTTCGAGTTCGAGTCTTATGAATGGAAAAACAAGTACTAGGAGAGCTTTCCCCCTAATGGGGTCCAACGCAGCTCGATTTTGAATTAGTCAGGACCCAATGTAATTACTAGATACTAAGAGGTTAGTACCAAAAAATTAAGAAAATCCAAAATGGCCTTGCTATTCCCAATTGAACATTAAAATATTTTTAAAGGGGTTTTGAAAGTTTAATTAGCGATCTATTATGTATTGAATTTAAAATGGTAAGTATCTTCTCATGGTCATTACATATTTTTATAATATTTATGGTTTGAAATAATCATGTGACAATTTTTATTTTCTAATTACATATAAAATAATACAAATGTGTGTGCATAGGCTAACGACCTAAGTAGTTCAATGGTCATTTCCTTTCACTAGAAGTAAGAGGTCTTGAGTTCGAATCGCATGGCATGCGAGTGTGATGGGATAAGGGATGGGAGATGGTTGCCTCCTATTGTGCAACCAAGATAAAAAAAAAAAAAATGTGTGTATAGCTTTGGATTAAGCTTTGCTATTTTATAAAAAGTTTCAAAGATTGTTCAATAGACATTACCTATGTATAAGGTCAACAAATCCCCCGTTTGTAATTAAGTATATCATGTGTGTGTATTTCCTAAGGGAATGTGTAAAAGATGTGTTTCTTTGAAGTATGTGAATCATGTGCTCCTTTTTGTGTGTTTCTCTTGTTCATGAGGTATGTGCTATTTTATGTAATATTGTGACATGTCAAATGCAAGGTGTATTAGGTTACAACCATTTGTGGATACTCAAGTACCATCCTTCAAAGATTAAAGATTAAACTTTAATTGTGATTTGAGTCATAAATATAATTTTCATTGTCTGTGTCATGCCCCAGAACCCAAATCCGAGGACGTGACAGATGCCGTACACTTGTGAAAGGATCCCACAAATGCACAAGGTTCGAAACTTATCATGTCATACTCTGATACCACAAAATCTGAAGATAAAAATTTTTAAATTTGCTCTAATATCATCAAATCTCCATATAAAGTCTAGCTTACAAGATCATGGTTTACATCTAGAATCTATGTTCAATTTACACGATGGCTAGCCTTTTAACTCATCACTCCCCTCGTTTTTCCCCGTCCTTGACTTCGCCTCCTGAAATGGTGGACAAGGAAAAACTATGAGATAACTCAGTAAATAAACATGGATAGCCCTTGGGTAAAATTTTAGCATGCTTGATAAACAGTTTAATATAACAAAACGTTCAATGATAAACCGTTAATGCAGAATCAAATTCAGTTCAATAGCAAAGCGTTCAATGACAAACCGTTAATGTAGAAGAAAATTCAATAGTAGTCTCATCTATAAGTCATGGTCAGTGTTTAACAAACTCCCACTGGCAGGCGTCAGTAGTTATACCAGTGTTTAACAACTCCCATTGGTAGGCGTCAATAATAACCAATGTTTAACCCCATTGGCAGGGTTACAAAAGTACCAGTGTTTAACAAACTCTCACTGGCAGGCGTCAGTAATGGTACTAGTGTTTAACAAACTCCCACTAGCAGGCGTCAGTAATTACCAATGTATTATCCCATTGGTAGGATTACAGAATGGACCAATCATATCAGTAAACATGTCGACATGTGCCAGCATTTACAAACTCCCACTGGTGGGTGTCAGTAATCATGACTATATCAGAGACAACACCATGCAGGATTTACAGAAAAATCCATAATTCACAATCAATCTCAAATTTCAGAAATAAACCAGAAAATTTCCATGTGAACATGGATTTAACAAAAAAACTCAGAATTTACAAAATTCTCAGTTCATCAAAGTAGTTCAGTCAATTCCAAATAGGCATGCTTTACTCAATGCAAATGAAAACAATTTCATTTCA